CAAGATCTCCCGACTTATCCCCAATTGAGCACGTGTGGGATATGATGGGTAGGAGATTGCTCAATTTGCAACGTCCTCCTCAGACTCTAGAAGCACTTCGAGAGGAGTTGGTGGTTGCCCGGAATGAGATACCACAGGAGGACATTGACCACCTGATCAGAAGCATGCCTAGGCGCGTTGGAGAATGCATAGCACATCAGGGTGCATCCCCACATTATTAAAGGTCAAAGGGCTTTAAAGCAGTGCAATCATTTTCAAATTTTTATCATTTACTTGTTATGCTTCATTAAGTACTTATACAAAGTTTTATTAAAATAAAACCATTTAAACTGAGTGTTCGGATTTATATGTCACTTAGTATATTAAACTTTTTAGTCTAAATTCATCGACATTGACATCTAAGATTGCTTCCCAGTACTGCTTAGTATAATTGGGTAGCTTGTGGCACTGAAGCCGAATTTGTCGTCAAATTTTGGGTGGTTTTAGATCCGTACTGATATTAGATTCAGAATCTGCGCAGCGTTTTCACCCAGAGAAGATTTCCCTTTTTTCTTAATGGAGCTTCTACTCTAGATATACAGGCACTCTGTATATGTCTCATAACGTTGCACATATACCTGAGACAGGAGAATGTAATTCATAGTTCATAAAATAAAACTGCACTATATATAACAAAGCGTATATTAAAAATGAGTAATTCTTAAAAATACAACAATAGGAATAATTCGTACATTACATACAAAAATTACGAATAATACAAAAGGCATCACATTTGATCGAGTAAAGATCTATATATACACAGGCGTAGATGATTATCTACACAGTAACTACTATTGTAAGGGACAGTCTTGGATATACAGGGTGAGGCAGCGAAACGGATGATCTTGAACTATATGCTAAAGCTCAACGAAGGCTCATCAAAAAAATATAGTCAATATCGGAGAAACTTTACTTCTCTGATGCAAGTCTTTAGCTTCAATGCCTTTGCATGTTGATTTTGCTAGCGTGTATTTCTGTAAAAACATTCATTTTTTAACACAATCACAATTTTACTGCTTCGACCTGTATCTATATTATGAAGTAATTTATATTATTGTGAAAAATATATTTGTGTACTTGGTTAAATGTTTGGATGGCAATAACAACGATTAAAACATAAAAATCATTTTAGAGTATTGTGTATTTTTTTATCGGTACTAACAATATAGATGCTTTTTCATCTAGATTAGTATACACAGAGAGAAATTATCAAACATAGACGCGAAGTTTTAGTATTTTTTGGCAATGCTATACTTTGGCAAGGTATATAAGTTCAGAGATCGGTATCTCTCATTTTGAAGCCCAATTTAATTTGGAGTTATAAAACAAATACTTGCTTAAATATCTTGATGTACAAACTGAGAGAGAAGTCCACGAAATTTTGACCGGAATAAGGCAGATTTTTACATTTTCCAATAACTGTCGACACTGTGCTTGATCATAAACGATATAAGTGAGTATTTAAGAAATTACTTCTAACATCTGTGTTTTTCGATATTAACCGTAACTTTGACAGCTCTTGTCAACTCTTTCTTCTACTTCTGCTAATGTTTCCGCTTATAGTTATCCAAAAAGTTTTATCCAATATAATTCTAATTATTTTTCAAAGAGCCTGCATCTTTGGCAGATGGACGATTCTATCGACAATACGTAATCGCTTCCTTTCCTAAAAGACTATCTTTTCCTCCTTGTACTCTGCCTCCTTTCTTTCCTTTTTCCATTAACATTGTCTTGTTCCGGATTATCCGACCTGATAAACTTACCAACTGTGCACTAACAACCAACTGAATGGAACCATATTCACTATAAAAAGTCTCCTTAAGTCAGTTGGTTCAGGAAATATCACCGAATAATCCTTCAGTTACACTGACACTCACAATCTTTGTATACACTCTTAACTTTTCAGTCCCACCGTTTCAAAGGAACTTGTTCTTTAATACTGCGATCCTCAAGTTCGTTTCTTCGCTTTGACGCCTTTCTTTGGATCAATTTGGTGTTACAAGCTTTGTAGCAAAGGCAGAACTGTGCCAGAAGACCTGCAGATATGCAGAAAACTCCTACGGCTAGACATATGATCTCGAAATGGACCAGAAGCTTGATGCTCATGGTCATGTCCTCCGGAAGGAGGACATGTTGTTCGAAGTACAGCACCGGGAAGAAGACCGTGGGAAGGTCTCGGTATAATCTGGAAAAATACGACACTGATCAACAGCCAAAAAATATCCTAAATAAAATCAACAAAATATTACTATTTTTAATGTGCTAAAACCGGAATGAAACTTATTTTTTCAATATTAGTTCAAGTTTTAGAGATACGGTAATTATATGTGTTCCTGCTGTGACAGTGTTAATATACTGTAATTCACAAGAATGCACGTGCTACATTTTTATATTCGGCAAGGAAAGATGCTGTAATCGGCATGATTGTGTTACGTTATACATACATGTACATTATAATGTTTTATATTAGCCATTTTTTCCTCAGTTGGCTGACAGCGTTCATGCAAGATGTCTCGAAAGTGTGTAAACAATCCAGATCAGTTTTGTTACGTGTGTGGGGATGTTACTTTTGCGTCTCATAGACGGTCTATTACTCCACTAATAACAAAGGCATATCAGCTTTATTCCGGTTGTAAACTAGGTGATCAAGACAAACAGTGGGCACCCCACATCTGCTGTAATACATGTGCTTCAAGTCTGAGGAGCTGGTTAAATGGCAAAAAACGGTCTATGCGCTTTGCTGTCCCAATGGTTTGGAGAGAGCCTACAAATCATATTAATGATTGTTATTTGCATGGTACCTTGTGTTGGACAAGCCACAGCTAGGTCCAAGAAAAAAAAATCGGTATTAACTACCCAAACATACCATCTGCGATGAGACCTGTGCCTCACAGTGACGAAAATACTATTCCAAAACCCCCAGAATCCTACACTTGCGAATCAGAAAACGAATCAGATCATGGCGATCGAGTGATTCGTCAGGAAGAAGATATGCCATCAACGTCAAGAGATCCTGATTTTATACCGAGCACGTCATGCCACCAACCGCACAAAATAACACAGTCAGAATTAAATGATCTTGTAAGAGATTAAGAACTTCCAAAATGTAAGGCAGAGTTACTTGGATCAAGACTGCAGCAGTGGAACTTGTTAAAAGACGATGTTTCGGTATGTGTTTTTCGTAAACGCCACAAAGACTTAGAACCATTTTTCATTATGGAGAATAACTTGGTTTTCTGCAGTAACATTAACGGCTTACTGGCGGCTTTAAATATAAACTATAACCCAGAAGAATGGAGATTGTTTATAGACAGTTCAACATTGAGTTTAAAGGCAGTGTTATTGCATATTGGAAATATTTTACCATCTCTTCCTGTAGGGTATGCAGTTCACATGAAAGAATCATATCGATGGTGTCAATGCAATACCTCGTACCTACGAAATGTCAAAATTTCAGGAGACAATGTTTTGCATAATAATTAATACTTGTAAGTGTTTTATTTAGTTTAACATTGTTCTAGGCCTCTAAACAAGCGAAAAAATTATTATTTTAGGTTGTCTTCTAAGAAATAGGTATTTAGTAATTATTATGTGAGATACGAAGTATTGCACAAAATTTTTCGTCAACTTTGGAACTTACGAGGTATTGTACTTATAATGAAAACCCATTTAGATTTTAGAACAATTTTATATCAAATCCATTAAAATACAAAATAGAAGATACACAAAAACTATATCCAAGTTACAGTAAAAAATGAACAGGAAACAAGGAAATATAAAAATAATAAAAACCTATTTGAAAGGTAAACTGTCATAAAATGGCCAATAATTTTGACTAATTTTGGTTTTTATTTCTTGTAAATGATCGTATTTCTTCTTTGCAATTGGCAGTTTGTGTTCAAACAATTGGAGAAATTGGTTTATGTCGTTTGGGGTCCTTCTTGGACGCTGAGGTAATTCTGCAAACTCTTGGTCGAAATTAATTTTGTATGTTATCAAGCCTTGTTCATACTGCAGTGCCTTATCTGCGTGACTGTCGGATCATTGGATTTTTTACCAGGGCGGATTGAATAGTAGACCAAATCGGCACTATAGTTTTTGAAAAAAGTAAAATCTGGAGTTACGACTTCATAAGGAAATGGTTTTTGACGCGCTTCTCCAGCAAGACGATAGTAATCATTTGGTATTTCGATGTTCCTATTTTTAGCTTTCTTTCAATAACAGCATGAACACTATCACATTCCATTTGAGAATGACCTTTAATCAGGAACTTTTGAGTTATTTGCACATTATATTGGCGTGATAGACTAAGCAGAGCATTTGCCATGGTACTGTTTCTATTCTGATATGTGCAACCATCAGAATAAATTATTATTGGTTTTATGTGGGATGCATTTTGAAGATACTTTTTTGTTAAATAGTCTACAAGAAGTGATGCAAACGTGGACGCTTGAAGATCTGCGTCCAGCTCAGTGAACCAATAGCAAGTACATTGATTTGTAGCTAGATCGTATACAGTAAAATTATGGCATACAAGCTTAGTTTTAAAGAAAAGCGAACTCGCTTGTAAATAAGGACAAGTTTTAACGGCTTGCAGATCTACTGTAATAACATGACAGACTCCCTGCATTGCTTTTTCTTTATCATATTTTTTTTCTTTTGAGCTCTCTCTTTGTCTGTTCTATGTTGTTCCCAGTCTTCTAGGCTTATATTTTGAGATTCATACTGTACACATGTATCACACCGATCCTTGCGAGGCTTGAATATACCAATATTCTTTTTATGTACCCACTTTATTAATGTATTTCTACTGGCTGGTGCTGTGTTTTGTGTTTTTTAATAATCCACGAAAGCTTTATATAAGTCTGAGTAATTAGAAAACTCATGTTCAAGGTACAACTTTGTAGTGTCTTTGCGACAATAGTGACTAGGAAGCTTTGGCAGTTTTTCTAGAAATGTTGTTATAAATCATTTTGGGATTTTCTGGGTAATCTGCGACTGTTAGTTTCTGCTCCACTGGAAGGTGTACCGTAATGCGATGTCTCCATCCAGCTCTTTATACTCCATTCCTCAAGCCCCAGAGTTCCCAAAAACATTTTTTTACAGACGGGTATAAGCTTATCACCAACATTCAAATCTTTTGTTTTTCTAGACGTCTCCTGTCTTGAAACAAGGTTGCAGACATATACCTTCCTTTGGTCCCAACTCAGGTTCTTCCAAAAAGCTGTAAAAATTTCTTTTCGTGCTTCTTCTCTGATTTTATTACATTTTCTTTTTGAGCTGTTCTTACAGGTTTCTGAGTTACACCTTTCGCCTTGTTTCCGCTCTTCTCTTTCTATATCTTGAAACGTTCTTTTTTCATTTCGTGGTCGCTTAAATCCTGTATAAGCCATACCCTTCATTCTAAGTTCCTTATTTCTTTTACGTTTGGACCCAGACTGTGAACTGAAATTATTGTTCGGTTCTTCGTTGATGATAATTGGTGGATTTGTTCCTACGTCCTCCACTGTCGAAGAGCTTCTGTTGGAATGACACATTGAAATTTGATTTATATGAATAGGTGCATCTTCAGCGGAAATGATATCCCGCTGTACCCTTGTCTCTTCTAAAACACCATTTTGATCGGCAACCACACTTGAGGAACCTATTACTGAGTGATTATTTATAGCATCTAGGCTGATGTCATGGATTACATTCTGTACAGAAAATGGCACTATTTCATGTTGGTTGGTGTCTAAATTTTCAGGCATACTTGTAGTAGGAGAACCATCGTTCAGATTTTCGGCTACTGCTAGTTCGAAAGCGGGTGATGTAGTGCTATTCTGTAGTTCAAGGAAATCTGATTTAGGACTACGTGGTTCCTCTAAATTTTCTCTGCTATCCACATTATTGTCTGTATTATCGAAAACTATCTCTGCTTGGTCTATTAATTTTTCAAAATCCATAGTTTGCTGCTCTTGAGTTGGAGAAATATCTGAAACAATATTTTTTCAATCAAAAAACCTATAGGAGATAATTTTTCCTCAAGTACTACTATGATTTAGGAAAAAAGTTGTTCATTTATTTCACACATGACCAACCAAAAAAAGTATCCAGTAATTTATATAATTATTATATTTAAACCTTTAATAGGATGGGCGAGGAGGGTGAATTTTTAGCCGTCACAATGTTTTCTGGCATTATAAAAATGTAACGAAGGGAAAGCATAACTGATAAGAAAATAAGACATCAAATCAATGGGAACTATCATCTAATCCTATGGTATACATTCTGTTATTAATATATAAATAATTATAACTTACTTGTGCTTGACAAGGACGCAGCTTGGCACATTTCCAATATTTTTTTGTCACGCATCTTGCAATTTTTGATCTATAACAAAAATAACAAATTGCAAGGAGAAGCACTTATCTGACATGTAAATTCATATTTTGACAGGTCAATAGCACGTATCTACGAAACAACTGCTCGTATCGCTAGGCAATAGCTTGTATCTTCTAAATAAGAAATATTTTGTCAATTTCAATGCCACGTATCTGCCACAACTACATAATACAAGCTGAAATAACATTAGTTGCTAATTTTCTTGCCAAATATGTCATACAACTACATGTTTAATATATATACTAATACCTACAATAATTAAATCAAATATAAAACGATTTCTTACCTTATTTTTCTGCGTTAAAGTATCAACACTCACATAAACACTCTACAGAAGACGCCATATTTTTAGAGATACGAGGTATTGCACGAATTTGAGCGGGAATTATGGGTAAATGCAAGCCAAAAAGGAGCCGTTTGATTGTTCAGCACTGTCATGCTCTCTAGCTCTTTGTCTATAGCGGGTAATTCAAATTTATCAAAAAATGGAGATACGAGGTATTGCCTTGACACCATCGATATGACAATATGAAGTACCTATTGACATGCATAAAATACCATGAGCACCAATGGCATATTTGTGGCGATTTGAAAGTTGTTGCACTTTTACTTGGGCTGCAGCTAGGCTACACAAAGTTTTGCTGTTTTTTGTGTGAATGGGACACTCGGGCAAAGGCACTTCATTACACCAGACAAAACTGGCCTGTTCGTCAATTCCTAGAGCCAGGTCAAAAAAATGTACAGCATATGCCATAAGTAGATTCGAAAAAAATTTTATTACCACCACTGCATATCAAGTTGGGCCTAATGAAAAACTTTGTCAAGGCATTAGATAGAGATGGGTCAGCTTTTCAATACCTGCGTCAGAAATTTCCAAGACTAAGTGAGGCAAAGGTTAAAGAAGGTATTTTGAAAGATACAGAGTTTGAAAACACTTTAACAGGTATTGAAAAAACTGCTTGGAATGATTTCCGTCTGGTGGTCACTAATTTCTTGGGAAATAGAAAAGCTGACAACTATAAAACCCTTGTCAAAAATATGCCGTCATCGTATCAAAAGATGGGCTGTAATTTTTCATCAGGATATTTCAACAATGGAAAAAAGGTACCAGGGAAAGTGGAATCCTTCCATGCTTGCAGACTACTGTTGGACTCTTGGTAGAGATGCTCCAGAAACGATCCATAAAAGAACAGCAAAAAGACAGCGCATATAGTGATTCTTATAAGTATATGAATCTTGTTACTTTTTTTAATATATCCTTAAAAATAAAAAGTTTTTTTTCTAAACCGCAACTAATTTTTTTATTTCATTGTCATTTTTGGATTCAGCGCCCCAAAATTAACAAAGAAGTACACTTTTCCCACAAGATACAATTAAAAAACTAAAATATGTTGTCCAGTGTAATTAGTGCGTGTTGCTGCAATTAAATTCTAGAAATTTAATTTATGTTGGTCGAATTTGGGGCCATTGTTTTTCTCGCTCTCGTTAATAACATAAGTAGCAATACTCATTGTGAAACATTAATATTTGCTGATGTGTTGGAATTGTTCTTTGAAATCAACAGCATCATTGATCGTCAGTTATCTAGGTTGGAAGTTTGGTGTCAATTGAATACTAATACAACAGAATTTCGCTAAATGCAAAGTGGTTGGATTTTTTCATTTTCTAGTGTTAATCATAACAAAATGCGTCGAATTCGAAGACGTCCAAATTATCTCGATGTTAGCGACTTTGACAGTGGTAGAATTATTGCCTATCGAGCTGTTGGTTTGTCCTGTCGCGAAATTGGCCACCGTGTTAATTGTCCTGCGTGACGTTAACATGATTTATAAAGTCGCAGCTTCTTTGGGTAGACGCTGCAAATATCAAATAAAAACTCACAATAATATCATGAATTTGACATACAAAACTTATTTACGGCAAAAAATCACTCAACACAGTTTGCTTCTGAGGTAAAGACTTATCGAAGGAGGACTAGTCTAAATCCCTTATAAAGGGTTGTCCAATAGGGACGCAGGAAAGTAAACGTCAATTTAACATAGACGCCATCTTTGTTTTCTGTCACCGACGTGTCATTTTTTTAGTTGAATGTTTACCGTTGATCGCTATGGAGTCGAATTCGATTGAAGACCGCATTAAAGTTATTCAAGAGCACTACAAAAATGGTGCAAAAATAAAAAACACGTTTCGCGTGCTTCGTGAACATTTCGGTCGCAACAACCGCCCAAACGAAACAACCATCGGTCGTCTGGTGCGTAAATTCGAGGCAATAGGTTCTGTGGCAAATCTGCCAGGCTCTGGCCGGCCAAGGAGCGTTCGCACACCGGAAAATATTGCTGTTGTGAAGCAGAGTGTGAGAGACGATCCGAAACAATCAACAACGCGTCGATCCCAAGATTTGGGCATTTCGAGAACCAGTTTTCTCCGCATTCTCCACAAGGATTTGAATGTACACGCCTACAAGATCCAATTGACGCAAGTGCTGCGTCGGGCCGACCATTTTTCGCGCCGAACGTTGTCAGATTGGCTCCTTGAACACCGCCAAATTGATGCCAATTTTTCATCAAAAATCATGTTCAGCGACGAAGCGCATTTCACTTTGAATGGGACGGTAAACAAGCGAAACTGCCGCATCTGAGCGAACTAAAATCCCCGTGAGTATCAAGAGCAGCCGATGCATCCTCAAAAAGTGACTGTGTGGTGTGCATTGTGGTCAAAAGGCATCATCGGACCTTACTTTTTCGAAAATGCGGCCGGGGACGCCGTTACCGTCAATTCTGAGCAATATCACGTGATGATAGAGGACTATTTTTTGCCGCAACTTGAAGGAATGGATATGGACGATGTTTATTTCCAACAAGACGGTGCAACATGCCACACAACCAACGTCAATATCCATCGATTGCAGTCCTTCTTCGGTGATCGCGTGATTTCGCGCAGAAGAAATGTGCCATGGCCACCAAGATCGTGCGATTTGACTCCCTTGGACTTCTTTTTATGGAGATATTTGAAAAGTAAATTCTACGTCAACAAACCAGCCACCCTCCAAGAACTCAAAAACAACATCATTGCCGAGATAAATGCCACAGAACCGACCATGTTGCAAAATGTCATTGAAAATTTCGACCATCGCGTGGACGTCTGTAAATCCAGTCATGATGAACATTTGAGCGATATTATTTTTCATACATAAATGGTATAAATGAACCTTCAAAATAAAGTACCCAACTTGATTTGAATATCAATCTTTCTTGTTTTAATATGCGTTTGCTTTCCTGCGTCCGTTTTGGACAACACCATATTTCTCGCCCAAAGAAAATTCCAGTAGGTTGTGATTTTTATTCTGGACACCGATAGAATTTGGCTATATGTATACCTCAATCTGCTGACGCCAGAATAAAGGCTGTTTTCTCACATATGGCAAGGCTTGGAAAAATTTGTAACGTCACCATAGCACCAAATACGTCACAGGTTTGTTTGAGAATTTTACGTTTGTAATTTGTAAAGCAAGTTTTGGCAATTGTTCTTCATAAAGAAGAGTGAAAATACCGTACTTTTTCCTTTATAGTTTACATAGTGATATACTTACGCCACACCCGGAATTGGCTGTATCCTCAAGTTCAGCTGTAACCTTGCTGCAACTTCCAGAGGTATCCCAGTTTTCTAGAAAACCGAAATAAAAAATAAATTGGAATTACTATTTGCATGCAAAGTTTCTATGCTTATGCGTCGATAGATCTGGCGTTTATTATGGAGACTATTTGTTACCATCGCTGCGTTATTCGGGTATCGACGACAAAAATAAAGTAGATTTTGCGAGGTAACATATCGATACGTATTTGCCAAAGTAACGTAAGTCACCAAAAGCGATTTCGGAGAAAAAATGTGTTTTTAATTTAACCTGGTTAAAATTTTTTAAATTGTGCAAAATTTACCAGGGCGTTTCTCTGAGGTCTATATTTAATTAAGAAAAATGATTTTTGAAGTTTTTCTATAGTTTTAGTGGTTAATTGATACTTACGTTACTTTACGGGTTCAGAAATCTCGAGGTCTTGATCAAAAATGTAACGTACGTACACAGATACGTCAGTTTGGCGGCAAATTGCAGCACTTAAAGTATTTTGGAAAGAATTAAAAACTATCGTTTATTATTAAAAAAAAAACACAAAATATCGTTACAAAAGAAAATATGAAATTCTTACTAGTAAAAAATATATATTTTTTTAATTTAAAGAATTCATCGTGAAACCTGGCAGGTATGACACGTAATTAACTAACGGCTGAAAATATTCTTGTACATCGCATTCCTGTTCAAATTGAACACCCACTATCCCATTTGAGCTATCAGTACTTATTGGTACATTTATTTCTTCTTGCATAGTATGGTTACTATCATTTTCGTACGGACTCGAATTGTTAGAAGACAATAAAATTGATTGATCTATTTCGATTACGTCTTCATTTACTAAAGTAGTTTATAAAATATTTTCGGAATTAACTAGATCAAAAATATTGTCACTTGAAATAATGGCTATCGGCATAGACCCTATTTCTTCCTCAGAATAAACATTATTCGATTCATCATTTTGGCTATGAGCCGCCAAAATCCTTTTTGTTCGTGAACTGACCATAGACATAATCTGAAAATAACCGAGCATTTATGTTTACAATGTTTCATAGCTTCTATAAAAATTAGAATAGAAACAAATACAACTTTCTCTAACTTCAACCGATTCATTCCTGTAAATTTCTCACAGGCTTCGAGGTTATGACAGAATAACTTCTAATAAATAAACGAAATTAAATATGAAATGGGAGTTTTATAGGTATGTACCTACAGAATATCAGTTAAGATTGTAATATTTTTGAATTCTAACTATAAAAAAATGTCGTTATTATTTACTTACCTAAAATCAATAATTAGTCGATGGTAGCATGAACCTAGCACTGTCGTAAGCCAAACACTGACTGCGAAAATCTGACGTAAGTCGCAGAAACCGACAGGGACTTACGTTATTATGGCGGTAAAAAACGTTAGCTTACGGATATGATTTAAAAAATTCAGGACATACGTTTTCAAAAAAAGTTAAAAACAAAGGTTTAAAGTAAAATCTAGGCTTCCTACACTTTGGCAGTACCTTCTCAACAATAAAAGCCTTACGTCAATGGTAAAACATGATTTTCACCAAAATGTCACTTACGTTACTTTGGCAAAAATGCGTCGATATTTGTTATCAATAGACATCTATGGAGGTTGGAAATTACAAAAAGCATATCTAGCATCCTTCCGTACCGGTTCAAAAATCATGTAGAACTCGTCTCTCTCCTTGTCAGGTACCACTCCTTCGATGTGCCTGGTGTAGTACGGATCAGCGCTATAGTAATTGGGCAGCGTCACAAAGGCTGGAGAGCCATGTCTGCAATTTGATACGTTCAAAGCTCCAGAAGGCATACAGTCGCCGTCACAGAAGCACTTATTTTCAGGAACCTTTGTACCTGAAAAAAGAAATTTCCACTACACATACGGCGTTAACGGCTGGTACACACGAGCGTTAAATTGTCGCGCTGCAAAAAAAACGCGCGTAAAAACGTGCGACTGCTCGCTGATAAACATGCTACTATTCGAAGAGTGGACACAATAGTGTCAATTACTCACTAATCACTATACTGTGTTTATATATTATGTATTTCTAACAGATTCTCCTACCGCTTTTCTTTTCTTTGTATCAGCTTCAATGATTTTTACCGGCTAGACGAACATTTTTTGTGATAAAAAAAGTCGCTGTATATGTATATATTTTTACCGTTACAGATTACAATTCTTGCACTGTACCTGTACCTATAATGTGATTTAACCTTTTAAAACGTTTTGTAATTGTAATGTCCTTATTTATTTTATAATTATAAGTATTTTTCTGGCATATTTGCTCAAACGCATATATGACCCTCAAATTGATATTGACAAGTCTTATATCATGTAACATGATCTAATAGGACAATAAACTATCTATCTATCTATCTATCATCGCTTCTGGTACATTGACAGACATATACTTAATATCTCAAATAATTGCTTATAAGCGAAATATGAAAGACGATGTTTGGCGACATTGTACCTGAAAATAGAAATTTCCATTACACATACGGCGTTAACGGCTGGTACACACGAGAGTTAAATTGTCGCGCTGCAAAAAGACGCGCGTAGAAACGCGCGACTGCTCGCTGATAAACATGGTAGTATTCGAAGAGTGGACACTATTTTCCATTCGCCATTAATCACTGTTTTGTGGCAATTGGCAAATAACACAATGTCATACTATCATAACACATGTCGTCGACTATGCAATCCCTTTTACCACATATCAGTAAAGATGGTTAACTTAAAACGTGGCACTTCTCGTCATATTCACGCTTGAAGCAGCAAACATTGATATCACCATAACTCCGCTTGCAGAGCCATCTAAGTCGAACTGATGAGTTAGTTTAAGCAAAGAGCTTTTCACCATTAGGAACGGCCACACGTTGCCAAGCTATGTAGTGGTCCACTGTGAATGATCATTTGGAGCTGTCAGAAACTCTAGTCGGAACAAACCTAACGGTACTGAGAGAGAAATTCGTCAAACGCGAAAACGATTTCTTTTTCGACATTTGGTTTGGCTTTTTGTTTGATTCTCATCTACGTCTTAACGAACTTTTTTGCGGCGTAACAGCTTATTGCCGATTGGTACCGGCAGATAGACTCAAATAGCTTGACTCATCGCTTCTGGTACATTGATAGACATATACTTAATATCTCAAATAATTGCTCATAAGCGAAATATGATAAGACGATGTTTGGCGACATTGTACCTGAAAATAGAAATTTCCATTACACATACGGCGTTAACGGCTGGTACACACGAGAGTTAAATTGTCGCGCTGCAAAAAGACGCGCGTAGAAACGCGCGACTGCTCGCTGATAAACATGGTAGTATTCGAAGAGTGGACACTATTTTCCATTCGCCATTAATCACTGTTTTGTGGCAATTGGCAAATAACACAATGTCATACTATCATAACACATGTCGTCGACTATGCAATCCCTTTTACCACATATCAGTAAGATGGTTAACTTAAAACGTGGCACTTCTCGTCATATTCACGCTTGAAGCAGCAAACATTGATATCACCATAACTCCGCTTGCAGAGCCGTCTAAGTGGAACAGATCAGTTAGTTTAAGCAAAGAGCTTTTCACTATCAGGAACGGCCACATGTTGCCAAGCTATGTAGTGGTCCACTGGGAATGATCATTTGGAGCTGTCGGAAACTCTAGTCGGAAAAAACCTAACGGTACTGACAGAGAAATTCGTCAAACGCGAAAACGATTTCTTTATCGACATTTGGTTTGGCTTTTTGTTTGATTCTCATCTACGTCTAAACGAACTTTTTTGCGGCGTAACAGCTTATTGCCCATTGGTACCGGCAGATAGACTCAAATAGCTTGACTCATCGCTTCTGGTACATTGATAGACATATACTTAATATCTTAAATCATTGGTCATAAGTGAAATATGAAAAGACGATGTTTGGCGACATTGTACCTGAAAAGAGAAATTTCCATTACACATACGGCGTTACCGGCTGGTACACACGAGCGTTAAATTGTCGCGCTGCAAAAGACGCGCGTAGAAACGCGCGACTGCTCGCTGATAAACATGCTAGTATTCGAAGAGTGGACACTATTTTCCATTCGCCATTATTCACTGTTTTGCGGCAATTGGCAAGTAATACAATGTCATATTATCATTACACATGTCGTCGACTATTCAATCCCTTTTATCACATATCAATACAGATGGTTAATTTAAAACGTGGCACTTCTCGTCATATTCACGCTTGAAGCAGCAAACATTGATATCACCATAACTCCGCTTGCAGAGCCGTCTAAGTGAACTGATCAGTTAGTTTAAGCAAAGAGCTTTTCACTATTAGTAACGGCCACATGTTGCCAAGCTATGTAGTGGTCCACTATGAATGATCATTTGGAGATGTCAGAAACTCTAGTCGGAAAAAAACCTAACGGCACTGATAGAGAAATTCGTCAAACGCGAAAACGATTTCTTTTTCGACATTTGGTTTGGCTTTTTGTTTGATTCTCATCTGCATCTAAACGAACTTTTTTGCGGCGTAACAGCTTATTGCCCATTGGTACCGGCAGATAGACTCAAATAGCTTGACTCATCGCTTCTGATACATTGACAGACATATACTTAATATCTCAAATAATTGGTCATAAGTGAAATATGAAAAGACGATGTTTGGCGACATTGTACCTGGAAAGAGACATTTCCATTACACATACGGCGTTAACGGCTGGTACACACGAGCGTTAAATTTTCGCGCTGCGAAAAGACGCGCGTAGAAACGCGCGACTGCTCGCTGATAAACATGCTAGTATTCGAAGAGTGCACACTATTTTCCATTCGCCATTAATCACTGTTTTGCGGCAATTGGCAAGTAACACAATGTCATACTATCATAACACATGTCGTCGACTATGCAATCCCTTTTACCACATATCAATACAGATGGTTAATTTAAAACGTGGCACTTCTCGTCATTTTCACGCTTGAAGCAGAAAACATCGATATCACCATCATTTCGCTTGCAGAGCCATCTAAGTGGAATTGATCAGTTAGTTTAAGCAAAGAGCTTTTCACTATCAGGAACGGCCACATGTTGCCAAGCTATGTAGTGGTCCACTGGGAATGATCATTTGGAGCTGTCGGAAACTCGAGTCGGAAAAAACCTAACGGTACTGACAGAGAAATTCGTCAAACGCGAAAACGATTTCTTTTTCGACATTTGGTTTGGCTTTTTGTTTGATTCTCATCTACGTCTAAACGAACTTTTTTGCGGCGTAACAGCATATTGCCCATTGGTACCGGCAGATAGACTCAAATAGCTTGACTCATCGCTTCTGGTACATTGATAGACATATACTTAATATCTCAAATAATTGCTCATAGCGAAATATGAAAAGACGATGTTTGGCGACATTGTACCTGAAAAGAGAAATTTCCATTACACATACGGCGTTAACGGCTGGTACACACGAGCGTTAAATTGTCGCGCTGCATAAAGACGCGCGTAGAAACGCGCGACTGCTTGCTAATAATCATGCTAGTATTCGAAGAGTGGACACTATTTTCCATTCGCTATTAATCACTGTTTTGTGGCAATTGGCAAGTAACAAGATGTCATATTATCATTACACATGTCGTCGACTATGCAATCCCTTTTACCACATATCAATACAGATGGTTAACTTAAAACGTGGCACTTGTCGTCATATTCACGCTTGAAGCCGCAAACATTGATATCACCATAACTCCGCTTGCAGAGCCATCTAAGTGGAACTGATCAGTTAGTTTAAGCAAAGAGCTTTTCACTATCAGGAACGGCCACATGTTGCCAAGCTATGTAGTGGTTCACTGTGAATCATTTGGAGCTATCAAAAGCTCTAGTCGGAAAAAACCTAACGGTACTGATAGAGAGATTCGTCAAACGCGAAAACGATTTCTTTTTCGACATTTGGTTTGGCTTTTTGTTTGATTCTCATCTGCATCTAAACGAACTTTTTTGCGGCGTAACAGCTTATTGCCCATTGGTACCGGCAGATAGACTCAAATAACATGACTCATCGCTTCTGGTACATTGACAGACATATACTTAATATCTCAAATCATTGGTCATAAGTGAAATATGAAAGACGATGTTTGGCGACATTGCACCTGAAAAGAGAAATTTCCATTACACATACGGCATTAACGGCTGGTACACACGAGCGTTAAATTGTCGCGAGGCAAAAAGACGCGCGTAAAAACGCGCGACTGCTCGCTGATAAACATGCTAGTACTCGAAGAGTGGACACTATTTTCCATTCGTCATTAATCACTGTTTTGTGGCAATTGACAAGTAACACAATGTCATATTATCACTACGCATGTCGTCGACTATGCAATCCCTTTTACCACATATCAATGCAGATGGTTAATTTAAAACGTGGCACTTCTCGTCATATTCACTCTTGAAGCAGCAAACATTGATATCACCATAACTCCGCTTGCAGAGCCGTCTAAGTGGAACTGATCAGTTAGTTTAAGCAAAGAGCTTTTCACTATTAGTAACGGCCACATGTTGCCAAGCTATGTAGTGGTCCACTGTGAATGATCATTTGGACCTGACAAAAGCTCTAGTCGGAAAAAACCTAACGGCACTGATAGAGAAATTCGTCAAACGCGAAAACGATTTCTTTTTCGACATTTGGTTTGGCTTTTTGTTTGATTCTCATCTGCATCTAAACGAACTGTTTTGCGGCGTAACAGCTTATTGCCCATTGGTACTGGCAGATAGACTCAAGTACCTTGACTCATCGCTTCTGGTACATTGATAGACATATACCTAATATCTTAAATCATTTGTCATAAGTGAAATATGAAAAGGCGATGTTTGGCGACATTGTACCTGAAAAGAGAAATTTCCATTACACATACGGCGTTAACGGCTGGTACACACGAGAGTTAAATTGTCGCGCTGCAAAAAGACGCGCGTAGAAACGCGCGACTGCTCGCTGATAAACATGGTAGTATTCGAAGAGTGGACACTATTTTCCATTCGCCATTAATCACTGTTTTGTGGCAATTGGCAAATAACACAATGTCATACTATCATAACACATGTCGTCGACTATGCAATCCCTTTTACCACATATCAGTAAAGATGGTTAACTTAAAACGTGGCACTTCTCGTCATATTCACGCTTGAAGCAGCAAACATTGATATCACCATAACTCCGCTTGCAGAGCCATCTAAGTGGAACTGATCAGTTAGTTTAAGCAAAGAGCTTTTCACTATTAGGAACGGCCACATGTTGCCAAGCTATGTAGTGGTCCACTGTGAATGATCATTTGGAGCTGTCGGAAACGCGAAAACGATTTCTTTTTCGACATTTGGTTTGTTTTTTTGTTTGATTCTCATCTGCATCTAAACGAACTTTTTTGCGGCGTAACAACTTATTGCCCATTGGGAACGGCAGATAGACTCAAATAGCTTGACTCATCGCTTCTGGTACATTGATAGACATGTACTTGATATCTTAAGTCATTGGTCGTAAGTGAAATATGAAAAGACGATGTTTGGCGACATACGAGAGCAGTTCAATAAGTACCCGTGTCTGACGACAGAGGGCGCTCCTGAGAGAAGTTAATGTTATCATCGTGTGCTGCCATCTCTCAGACAACGGCACAACAAATTTTAGACTGATTGGTAGGTTAGTTTGGATTTCTGAAAATATGGGAGGAGATAAAATCAAAGTTGGATGCTGTTTATGGGTCCACTTTGCCATCTATGACCACAGTTTGATATTGGTTCAACGAATTTAAATAATAATAATAATAATAATAATAATAATAATAATAGTATTTATTCACTCAATGTACAAAGATAACAAACAATATGAGTAAATAAATATAAAATCAAAACAGGCCCAATAGAAGGCATCGCCTGTACATGGACCAATAATTTAAGTTGAAACTGTAGAATGCAAATGACAAAAAAGGACAAAAATTAGCTACAGTAGATTATGTATTTAGTTGATGTTCGTATTTATGAGTTTATGAATTTCAGTCCTAGATATAGAATGTAGGCACTTTTTTAAATTTCTTTTGAAACAATTTCCGAAACGTAAATCTTTTAAGTCTTTAGGTATAATTTCATAAAATTTAGGCGCTAAATAGAGATATGATCGCTGCATTATAGATTTATGCGGTTGAGGAACTACTGTGCCACGAATTTTGTACCTGGTATAATGATTATGTTTAATTTTTTGGTCGGTGTTTACAAATTTATGGTAGTGAGTCATACTGTGTAAGAAATAAAGCTGTCTTATATCATACATTCGTACATCTGCGTATAATTTTTCAGTGGGATAAAGTTTCGGTTTTTTAAATATCATTTTTAGAATACTTTTTTGAAAAACATCTAAATTATAGATATGTGAGGAACATGCAGCTCCCATGCTAATATACCATATGTGAAATGAGGCTCAATCAGTGCATGGTATAATGTTCGAAGATATTTTTCTGTCAATATATTCCCAAGGTATTTAATTTTGTAGGATACAAATATAACTTTCTTTAAAATATAATTGACATGGATGTCCCATCGTAAGTGAGGATCCAAGACCACTCCAAGGTATTTTATGTTGGGGACTCTATTAATTTGCATTTTTTGATCATTAATATTGAAGGAGAAATTTGTGTAATTTGGCAGATGTCTAGCATAAGATCCAAATGGTAAAAAATGTGTTTTAGAATCGTTAATGCTTAATTTTCTACTGTTAAACCAACGAATAATTTTGATAAAATCATTTCAATTACATTTTTCAGATCAGACCAGTCAGCGCCTTCATATAATATTGCAGTATCATCTGCAAAACTAGTTATTTTGCCAACACAATTAATTTGGAAAATATCATTTAAATATATATTGAATAACAGCGGACCTAAGACAGTTCCTTGTGGGACACCACACTTAATATACATTTCTTTACTAAATGATCCTGATATATGCACAGATTGTGGTCGATTTGACAAATAACTTTCGATCAGTGAGTACGCATTTCCTCTGAAACCAATTCTCTCCAATGCTTCTAATAATAATTTGTGATTAACTGTGTCGAAAGCTTTCTTTAAATCAACAAATATGCAGATTGAAGGGATTCTGTTATCAATATTTTGATGTATTTGATTTACGATTTTAGTTATTGCGTCCGATGTAGCCTTCCCTTCTGTAAATCCATATTGATTTTCACTTAAAATTTTGAATTTTGTGAGGTATCGAATCATTCTAGTAGATAAAACTTTTTCAAAAACCTTTGCTAAACTGGATATTATTGATATTGGTCTATAGTTGTTAACATCTGTTTTTGTTCCTGATTTATGTATCGGTATTATATTACCTTTTTTTTAAAATTGAGGGATATATGCCAGATTCAAAATGTGGGAAATGATCCAAAAAGTCCACGACAACAAGCGGATGCGGCTGTTAGCTTCTATGCAGTGTTTGCAGCAATTTAAGCGAAATCCGAAGGAGTTTTTGCACCGAGTTGTCACCGTCGATGAAACTTGGATTCATGATTACACACCAGAAACTAAGCAACAATCAAAACAATGGTTTTTTTCCGGTGAATCTGCTCCAAAGAAGGCGAAGACGGTTCAATGTGTCGGAAAGGTCATGGCGATGATTTTTTGGGATGCGAAAGGCGTCATCATCGTGGTTTTTTTAGAAGAAGGTAAAACGATCGTGAGTTATTGGACCGCTTCGACAAAAAATTGAAGAAGACACGGCCACATTTGACGAAAAAAAAAAAGGTGCTGTTTCACCACGGTAACGCACCAGCACATTCATCCGGATTATCGCCGCCAAACTGCATGAATTGCGTTATGAAGTGCTGCCGCACCTCCGTATTCACCCGATCTGACCCCTGTGACTTTTTCTTGTTCCCTGACATAAAAAAATGGCTGGAAAAAGTGTATCTTTCTAAAGGGGATTATGTTAAGAAAGGAAAATACATTTTTTAGAAAAAATGGTGTTTTCATTTGTCACGCGGGTACTTATTGAACTGCCCCCGTATTAATTATATTTTTTACTCTCAATATTCTCAAGCTTTGGTATGATAGTCATCCTATGTAAGTATCCGAGCAGTGCTTTCCGAACTGGCTCAAAGAGATTACCAACAGATTACACGACGTAGATAATGTACCAAAAACAATAATAATTAACGACTCTCATTTAAGGCGAAGCTTAGCTACAAGCTATTCCACTACTCAACCCGTGAAACCACTTAAAATCTCAAAAATGAAAGTTTATGTCCTTGGTTACGCCGTTTTAATGGGCTTTCCAAATTGATTTCAAAATATACTTAATGACTCAGAAAATGCAACACCGACTAGGAGTGCTGTAAGTTTGAGATATCCCACCTTACTGTTAATAATGTATTTAAGCTCCTCTGTATGCTACATATTCGTTAAGTCGTCGCGGCATTGATTGGACTAGGTGATTGATGTCTTCTTGCTGTATTGTATCCAATGCCATCTGAATTTGGTGTCGTAGAGCTTCCAATATTTGAGGAGGGTGCGGTAAATTTTGCAACCTACTTCCCATCAAGCAGATTTACACCGGACGCAAAATCCAATAAATAATTCTCGATGTTGCATTTTATACGTCACTTAGTGCATATTACGTGAAAAACGTCAAATCTACTGTTCGTTAATCTCAATACTCAAAACGTCTTCTTACCGTTGTCTAAGAACTTCTGTCCTGCTATGAACTTGTAACCCGTTATGCCGTGTATCATGACTTCCTCTGCAAATTCTAGTTCAACATACCTGAAAAAAGCGTACATGTACAATCATAATATGCACCAATACAAGAGTTTTTGGATCAAGCTCTAAATACCAACACACGAAGTGTCGTTTTTCTTGTGGCTAGAAAGGATTCGAACTAGGTGAGTCTTAAAGGAGGATGAAAAAGAGTTTCCATGATTAGAAGTTAGAAATTAGAAGTTCTTGATTAACGCATATGGCATTTAAATATAAATAACAATACAAAATATAAAATCATTAATGGTGCATGATCACAAGAGATATAACAAGACCAATTATTACTGTACTACATTTCTCACTTTATTCGCAGATTTGCTTTCATACACATCGAGTTATAGGAGAATTCACACCATAATTTGTCCTATGATATGGAATATGAAATAATGACTTCTTGACTCGCTTGACGGTATATGAAAACCAACCAGAGCAAGGAGATCAGGTGCATTAATTTGATTGTTAATGATCTTACAAAGTGTGCAAATATCAAACATATCTCTTCTGTTTACAAGTGGCGTTAAGTTCAGTAGAGTCATTAGGTCCTGACAATTAATGTCATCATAAGGAATGCCAAGCTTTAGCCCTCTTAAGAAATTTTATTTGGATTCTTTCAATACTTACTATCTCTGTGCACATCATAATAAGGATGCCAAACAGAGCTGGCACTGAAGCACAGTAGACATCTCTATGATGGTTGCAATAGAGTTTGAAGACTGTCCAGTGTACTCATTGTACAAGTTACAATAAAGAATATGGATATTTTTCAAGAAAAGAATGCCGTCAAGAAACATGAGTTGTTGGTACACGAGCAATGCAAAAATATACTCGTAGATTTCGTCTTTTTTGGTTCGGTAACACTGCAAGACAGTCTGGTCCTGGCATTGATACATGGCGAACGTTGTAAACGATGTAAATATTCAAAAAGGTTCTCGAAGAGTTTTTAAATGTAACAATATATTGACTTTCTGTTGTATATATAGATATATATATATATATATACAGGGTGTCCGCAAAGTTGGGCTTTTCCTTTCAGAAACAACTACCCTTGAAATAACAAAGGTAATGTGTAGTGAAACGAGGGCGACCAAGTAAAAAAAATAAAGGAAAAAGTACTCACTCTCCAGTTGACGAGAAGGGCTAAGTACGTCTCTGCCCGAAATCATACCGCTCCAACAGAAAATGAAATCAGCTGAAGCGCTACCGAGCAGACGCAGAAACCACATTGACTGTCTTACACATAATGGCACATCTTCTAACAAGGAAGGCAAAATGTTGCGTAAAAAGTCTAGATATTGCATCCGTCCAATCGATTCAGGAGAATATATGGTCCAATGAGCATACCGTTCACCATGCCAGCCCAAACATTCACCGAAAATGTTTGTTGAAAATGTGCCGACGGACAGCGTGCGGATTTTCTACTGACCAAACATGAGTGTTGCGAAAGTTATTCACCCCATAACGCGTGAACGTAGATTCGTCTGTCACCAATATGCACTTCAAAAAGTCCGGATTATTGTCATGTTGATGCAACAACCACTCACAAAACCGCACTTTGCTGGAAAATCGTCAGGTTGAAGGGCTTGTACACGTTGGACGTGAAACGGATACAGCCCCTCTTCACGCAGCGTTTACCACACTTTAGTTTTTGATACATGTACTTCTCTAGCCACGTCTCTAGTGCGTTTTGTTTTTTGAAACGCAATCGTTTATACGGGTTCGTTTACCTCTACACGCGTGACCGTAACCGTCGGTTGAAGGTTGCATACTGACCTGACACACTGACCCCGACCCAGTTCTGTCGTCGTGTTGTGCTAGTGTCCTAGTACCACTTGGGGATGTCGCGGCTACAGGACGGTATTCAGATATTTTTGATGTTGCAGAGCCCTTTATCTCGGTTCCCTTAAGACATTGGTGTATATGGTACTAAGAAAAATTACTTATGTTTTCAAGATCTACACGTCGTGTAAAGGAAAACCCCAACTTTGCGGACACCCTGTATATATATATATATATATATATATATATATATATATATATGTACTACCTATTTACCTTAGAAAAATAGAACATTATAATAGATTCAAGGACAGTGTGAAATTATTTTGCAGAGCAACTGCTTTTAATCAATGCATGAATATTAGGATGCCGAATTCTAAGTGCTTTAGCAATGGTAGATGTGTTTTGATACATTTTATCTGTTGTGATGCTTGCTGTTTTTTTTCATGTTTTACCTAATAATTTATACTATATATGACTTGCCATATACGTTATTGTGTCGCTTTGGTTAAAAATAAAATACAAATACAATGAATCGGCGCGATTTGAATCCAATTGTCATTTCATTTAACACTTATTAATTACCTGCATAAATCGGAGGAGAACATCTTAACAACGCTGTCTTTCTTTAGGTTCCCCGGGAAGAAATCACCGGCAGAGGCTCCGTCGAATCTCCCACATTTTCCTGGATAGTATGGAGTATGCTCCTGAAACTTCCACCGTTCCAGTTCTCCGATTTTTCCATCGGACCTTCCGGTGTCTATGTTAACTCCCCATCGAAATCCTCAGATCCATTTCTCTGAAACAAGAAGAACAACGATACAAACCGATAACATTGCTTTTATACGTTCGAGCAGCAGAACGTGAGTTACGTGTTTCGTGCTTATTGGCAATCATCAGCACTGTAGTATATTAAGTACGCCCCTGGTTCCACGAACCCCACAGTATGTCGAGGTTCGGATTGTAACAGTTGTATCGGTGATCTATAATAAACCATTAGTATACTTCCGGGTATTATTGATACCAAGTAAGACATTACAAGCACCACCTATGCTTAGTATGTATACTAAGTGACATATAAATCCGAACACCTAGTTTAAATGGTTTTATTTTAATAAAGTTCGTGAATGTATTTATCTTACTGTAAATAACAAGTGAAAACATTTTCAGCCTTATCAGTTGGACATGCCGGTTTTTATACTGCTTTTTTTAATTCACTAACGCTCTAAAAATGAATATTTCAGCCGCAGTAAAGAATCAACGTTGGCGGATTTTGATTCTTGACATCCTTTACGATCGGTTACGATGCCTAGAGTACGGAGACCTGTACGATTTCGTCAACTTAGTGAGTTTGATAGGGGCCGTATAGTGGGACTTCGGGAAGCTGGACTTTCTTTTCGGGCAATTGCAGTTAGAGTGCAAAGAAGTGTAGACACTGTGGTTAGGTGTTGTCAGGCATGGCTTCGAGAAGGCCGTACGCAAAGAGCAAGGGGCACTGGACGCCGCCGTAGAACAACAGACCGTGAAGATCTTAAGGGACCGTTTCTCCACTACCAGGTCCATTGCAAATGAATGGTTTGCAGAACACGGAAGACCTATTGGCATGCGAAGTGTTTACCGACGAATGAGAAGTTTGGCTTGTTTTCATACCGGCCACACTGGGTCCTGCCTTTAACTCGAGAACACCGACGTAATCGCCTTGAGTGGTGCAGACAACGGTCACTCTGGGATCAGGAATGGAACAGTATTGTCTTTAGTGACGAGTCTCGATTTTGTTTAGGCATGCACGATGGTCGTGCCAGGGTTAGAAGGCGACGTGGTGAAAGGAGGAATCCACAGTTTTTTGTTGAAAGACATGTTCATCACACTGATGGAGTTATGGTTTGGGGTGCTATAGCTTATGGTTCCAGGTCACCTTTAATCTTTATCAGAGGTAACATGAACGCGCAGCGTTATATCCACGAAGTTCTAGAACCCCATCTTTTACCCTATCTTGACACCCTGGCAGATCCAACTTTCCAACAAGATAATGCCCGACCACATGTTGCAAGAGTCACAATAGACTTCTTTCAACATAATGATGCCACATTGTTAGCATGGCCACCAAGATCTCTCGACTTATCCCCAATTGAGCACGTGTGGGATATGATGGGTAGGAGATTGTTCAATTTGCAACGTCCTCCTCAGACTCTAGAAGCACTTCGAGAGGAGTTGGTGGTTGCCTGGAATGAGATACCACAGGAGGACATTGACCACCTGATCACAAGCATGCCTAGGCGCGTTGAAAATGCGTAGCACATCAGGGTGCATCCACACATTATTAAAGGTCAAAGGGCTTTAAAGCAGTGCAATCATTTTGAAATTTTTATCATTTACTTATTATGCTTCATTAAGTACTTATACAAAATATCACAAAGTGCCATCTGTTACCAGAATCGACCACAGCGGCTGTTTATTGGAACAGTAAAGTATCTCAGTTGTCTTCGACAGCCTCTGCTGGCAGCGTGGAACGAAGTAGTAGTTATAGTTCAGTCTTATAGTGTCTGTTTACGTATTTATCCAGGCCATTAAAAAGCCAAGAAGGACGCTTCTGAAGATAGGAATAGATATGAAAATGCATTTTAAAATTTTGCTGGCCAACGTGTATGAGATGAGAGGTCAAGCTGTACTGTGTACTTCTAGGAGAAAAATTTGTATACAGGGGAAATCAAATGTGCCTGACCGGCACGGGTATCATGTAAAAAACCTACAAAACGTCAAAAAAAAACCTATAAGATGTCAACTTGCAGACTAGGTAGTTTTTAGGGCGCAAACAGTCATTCCACGTTTGCTCACTAGGATCGTTGTGAACGTCCATCTATGGAGGAATCGCTCAACTAACTACGCATTATGGGTTGCATAGTTTTTTGAAGCTGAGTGATCCGTGTCTGTAGTTTTATCTCTGAGAAGAAAGTTGGTTGAATGGCAAGATCGGATCTGCATGTCTATAAAAATCAGTGATATTTGATGTGTGAGAAAATCATTACTGAATATGCCGAACAAGACGCGTTATTTATATGTTGTGCTTTCTGAGGTTATGTTCAAAGTTATAAACTACGAAAAACAGGAGAATCATTATCGCGCCCGCGTTGTCTGTAATTACTGTTAGCATGTATATGGCTTGCAATTCGACAGTGTACAGTGAATATAATTATTTCTTATCTCCTCATTTTTGAAATTAAGCAAATTTGTATATGTAATTTCCAGAATGGATAAGAGAAAGTGGATGCGTAACTAATTTTTAGCTTTGAATCTCAGTTATGTGTATTTGAGACAAGAACCCAAAGTAATTATCATCAACACATACAACTTACCGCTTAGACCTCCAGTAATGCCATATCAGAAGCAGATTTTACATCACATCAGAGCCAAAGGTTGATAACAAGCCTCATGATGTTTAGGCAACACGTACAACTAAGTGCTAAGTTAACACCTTTTAGAAAAACCTGCATAATGTCAAAAAAGCAGCATAATGTCAAAAAAAATCGGCATAATGTCACTTTTCAAGTTACGTGATATTCCTGCGGGCCTGAGTTGAATGTGAGAAGAAAAAACTATGTATCAACACATGTTACAAAGAGATAGAAGCCGGCGGAATAACGAAGGTACTCATCACATTACTTAGCAACGGTGAGGCAGAAAGTCGGGTAATCTGCTGCGATGCCATCCTGAGTTATTGTTACATTTGAGACAATCAATAGAACTTTCAATAATATTCCTTGGCGGAGAAAAACAGGACAGAGAAAAAAATGTAAGATATATTAAGCTCGATGGATGACCGGAGTTGCTAAAAATCGCAAGACATCTGTCCATGATCGCCTGTCTGTCGTCGGACAGACAAAACCAGTATGTTTATATGGTTCATTGTTTTTCATTTCAGAGAAAAAATCGACGGTTTTGCTACAATCAAAAGGAAGTCCTTGTTCAGTCGAGTCAAAATTGGTGACAGTTTTCTCGACGAGTGACCAATTTCATGGCAACATAATGATTCTTTTCAACACGCTAAGAATAAGGTCCAGACACTGAGATACGACAGTCACGTTACTGCTAGACTTCCATGGCTTAATCACTGCTAATGAGGAGCAAAAACAATTTTTATTATGTTGCATACAAGAACAAAGGAAGGTATATCTTGCCTGTAAGAAGAAAACTTTGATAAGAAAATTAAGTAAATAACGTTCGTTTAATGGTAAATATCTAAGAAATATAAGGTGTCTGTACCGCAAGGAAACAGAAATAAATGTATACATAAGCTTGTCGTTAACTTTATTAGTTTCTACATTTCTAAAGGGTTGTCCAATAGGGACGGAGGAAAGTAAACGTCAATTTGTCATAGACGCCATCTTTGTTTTCTGTCACCGACATGTCATTTTGTTAGTTGAATGTTTACCATTGATCGCTATGGAGTCGTATTCGATTGAAGACCGCATTAAAGTTATTCAAGAGCACTACAAAAATGGTGCAAAAATAAAAAACACGTTTCGCGTGCTTCGTAAACATTTCGGTCGCAACAACCGCCTAAACGAAACAACCATCGGTCGTCTGGTGCGTAAATTCGAGGCAACAGGTTCTGTGGCAAATCTGCCAGGCTCTGGCCGGCCAAGGAGCGTTCGCACACCGGAAAATATTGCTGTTGTGAAGGAGAGTGTGAGAGACGATCCGAAACAATCAACAAGGCGTCCATTTTTCGCGCCGAACGTTCTCAGATTGGCTCCTTGAACACCGCCAAATTGATTCCAATTTTTCATCAAAAATCATGTTCAGCGACGAAGCGCATTTCACTTTGAATGGGACGGTAAACAAGCAAAACTGCCGCATCTGGGCGATCATAGGACCTTACTTTTTCGAAAATGCGGCCGGGGACGCCGTTACCGTCAATTCTGAGCGATATCACGTGATGATAGGGGACTATTTTTAGCCGCAACTTGAAGGAATGGATATGGGCGATGTTTATTTCCAACAAAACGATGCAACATGCCACATAACCAACGTCAATATCCATCGATTGCAGTCCTTCTTCGGTGATCGCGTGATTTCGCGCAGAGGAAATGTGCCATGGCCACCAAGATCGTGCGATTTGACTCCCTTGGACTTCTTTTTATGGGGATATTTGAAAAGCAAAGTCTACGTCAACAAACCAGCCACCCTCCAAGAGCTCAAAAATAACATCATTGCCGAGATAAATGCCATAGAACCGACCATGTTGCAAAATGTCATTGAAAATTTCGACCATCGCGTGGACGTCTGTAATCCAGTCGTGGTGAACATTTGAGCGATGTTATTTTCATACATAAATGGTATAAATGAACCTTCAAAATAAAGTACCCAACTTGATTTGAAAATCAATCTTTCTTGTTTTAATATGCGTTTACTTTCCTGCGTCCGTTTTGGACAACCCCATACTATGTTGTTAGAATCGACGGCATCAAGCGGTCACGGTGGTAACTCGACAGTCGACGCGAACTTAGATACTTTACTTATGAAAAAGTCGGAAAATTTCTCTCACGAATATTTGTTATTGTTCGTTTCTGTATAAACATTTTGCCTTAACAAAAAACTGTCGTGCTGCTTTGCGTTGACAAACAGAATGTCATTTACCTGTACTTACACCGTAAAACCAGCCGAATTTGTCCATGTTGGGGATGTTGTTCTTGGACAGGAATGGTAGTTTGGCAGCTATGCTTAGCAACGCATCCGTATAACCGTCGAACAGTACGTGTCCTACTGGACGGACCGCCTCCACAGTCTGGACCATGCTGGATAAGACTCCGGAAAAGGTCTTTTTCACTATGAAGTGAAAGTCTCTGACCGTATAGGCGGCTGACTGAAACAGAAGTAAAAAATGGCGTCAAGCAGCTTGAGTCTGCAAGAAGTTTGATCGATTTCTATTTTGTCAGTTTTTGCTCCGAAGCTCCGCAGCCACTGGACCGACTTTCGAAAAAAAGGTTTTCATTCTTGGCATGGTAGTGAAAATAGTGTGAAAATTCCATCCAAACTCGAGCGGTGTTTTCCAAGTCCGTCTATAGGGCCAAAGACTAGCGGGCAAACAGACCGATATATCGTCAGTCTGGATCGCGATCACATTACTTCCTCGCCAGTGGCGTATAGAGTAAGCTGAAAATGGTCACTTGCGTTACTCGAGAGAAGCGGGAATTAGTGTGGGGGTTCCACAGGGGTCAATCCTTGGACTAATTTCATTTTTAGTGTGCATAAACGATCAATCTTAATCTATTAACTTCGTTATTTATGTGCGCTCATGATATATCGGGTATAGTGGCTAACAAAAACATATAGCAGTTGTAGCAAAAATCAACTAAACTTGTAAGCAATGTACCTGAGTGGTGCAATGACAACTTATTACATTTGAACGTCGATTAAACGAATTTTGTATACTTGTATTAAACGGAAAAAACATAGTTCAAACGAATGCTGCACAGTTTCTTGGTGTGAGATAAACCATTCATTGAAGTGCGTCAGAACAGATAACATTATTTGTTATCTGCCTGCTATTTAATATACAGTATTAGAGATCAAGTTAGTACTGAAGTCGTGAAGATGGTCTACTTTGCTTATGTGCAATCTGCAATAAAATACAGCATAGTACGAGCCCCTTCCCACTTTAGTTGGCCGAACTATTGAAATCTTAGTTTTTTTCTTATCAAACACAAATAATAAAAATGTAAATATTTGCCAATTTTAGTGATGGAAGAATGTTTGACATCCAGCCAAGATTTTGTGTTTCAGCAAGATGTTGCAGCGTGCCATACCTCAAAAAGGCTATAAAATGGATGGAAATAAAGTACCACTTTTGAAATGGGTTTCTAGCAGTCCAGATTTGTCAGCTATTGAAACTTTGTGGTACGAAATGAAAAAGGTTCTACGACAACATCCTGCTCGTACAATCACCGAACTGAGGCAAAAGCTTCAAGAAATATGGGATTGTTTTACACCAAATTTTTGCCAAAACTTGGTTAACACTATGCCCCAAAGAATTTCAGCCGTAATAAAAAATAAAGGTGATGTTACCCAATGGTAATCTTTCAATTGTTGCTTTGTTAACTTCGCGCATTTATTCGCCATTTGTTCAGATGTTCTATTAGTTACAGGTCTAAGTGATTTCAAATATGTATTTTTTACCACTAGAGTGTATCTAAAATGTTTTTGAGAAAATAAATTGCTTTAGAAGTAAATAGTTTCGTCATGTTTAGTTTATAAAGGCATATTTTGGTACCAATCTTGAAATGGGCCAACTGAAGTGGGAAGGGGCTCGTATTTTGGTTTGAATCTTCGAAATTTGCCGATGTTTTATATGCCAGAAACAAATTTTAAGAGCAGCATTAAGATCGCCCCAGATGACATGTTGCAGAGTGTGCTTCAAAGTGATGAAGATATTGACAGTCCCACATTCTTGTATATACATATTGAGCATATGTATTGATACAAAACAAAACCTCAATAAATACAGGAAAAACACTTATTATTACAATAGAAACTGTAACAATCTACGAGTAAGTATTTAGTGCTTTGCCAGTACATATAGAAGACTTGAAAAAGACATATGACTTCAAAAAAAGTATGAACGCTTATTCAATGAAAAAGGCCTTGAATGAGTACTTTAACTGTCCTTAGTTTTTTTTATGTAATGTTTTTGTGTGTATAATGCTTTTACTTGTAAAATTGTGCAATCAATGTGCTTATTTGTTTTCAGGTTGACGTTATCTATGTTTACAATTGTGAACCTTATTACAATAAAATTATTATTTTTTTTAATGCAAGTTATAAGCACATACTTACGAAAGCAACCGGATTGACGCTGATAACGGTATCTGCAAGAGTTCCGTTGCTTTTCTCCGGAACATACCACCATTTCTTCATATTCTTGTAGGTCACGGTGTTATTATTGTTCCAGGTGATGTTAGTTTTTTCTTTCGTCTCATAGAAGGTGTACGGCCCTATCTTCTGGAAATGGGGCTTTATTGTATGGTTATTGATATCTTTCGGATTTGTCCAATTGAACAGGTAGAGCTTCAGATATAATGGTACTGGGTTCTTTACCTGTTAAGTAAGAAAAACTTATGTAAGTTAGCGTTATCTTTTATTTTTGGGATGTATGCTGATCACAAAAGTTTATGTGACAGAATCAAGAGGTCCTACGTAAAATTACATGATCAAACGAACTTACCTGTTAATTATGTGAAGTCCTCGTCGAAGTAAATATCTAGAATACATATCGTAGTACCCTCGTAGTAGTATTCAACCGCCACGATTTCAAAGCGCGCACACAGAGAAGGAAAACGGCACCGTTCTCCTTCTCCCTACCTTTCTCTCCTCTGGCCGCTTATAAACCTTCATTTACTTCAAAGCCAAGTTGTAACAATTGGGTGGTACACAGTGAGCGAGGGAGCTATTTACTTCGACGAGGACTTCACATAGGTTGTACACAACTACACAGATTGTACACAATGTATGTGTCAACTAAATGTACATTTCCATTGTAACAATTCAAGTTAAGGCCTTTAGCAACAGATAATATGACGTACCTGGTTCAAAAATTACCATCCATTTCATGGTAATAAGCAAATAACGTAATTACATAGTTATGTTTAAGGCGTGGAGACGTGGTTTACCTCAAATGCCGCTTGAGCAAAGCTATTGTATGGCATAAGAGATTTGTGACGTATCTTAGAAGACGCACTTCACGCCGCCGCGAGCCTGAGACTACTATAATTTATCAGGCATGTATTTCTTCCCGACAAAGGTCCTACCGTAATCTAAGCCCACAATACATGATGGATTATCGATGTTGATTGGAATGACAGCTTTCTAGTTGCGATCACCAGGGTAAGCTTGAGAATTAGTGGGAGTGACGTCCTGGGTCCCTCCATCAGATCCTTGCGTTACTTCTAGAAGTGAAATTTCAGGAACACCGAATACATGAACCAAAATCAGGATAGTGACAGGTGCAGCTCCCACTCCGTTTCCACGTCCCACTGACGCTTTCCTTCTCTGCGTGCGCGCTTTGAAATCGTGGCGGTTGTGTACTACTACGAGGGTACTACGATATGTATTCTAAATATTTACTTCGACGAGGACCGAACACAATTATATATTCCTTCCACATCCTAAATAGTATTGGCTGAACGATTATATTTTTCTAAAGCTTAATATTTTGACTGAAAAGAGGTAATTTGTTCGACATGGATAGAACGAGTCATTTTTTAAAAGTACAGTGTCCAGCTTCATTGCCAAATAGTGTTATCTTTCAACACGCTAAGAATAAGGTGCAAACACTGAGTGCAGTTAACGAAGTACTCTTTCCCTTTTTTGTGGTTCTGAAATAAAATATAATAATTTTTTTTAATATTGTATACATGCAGCTGGTTGGCCCAGAAGCATTGTCCGTCAGGTAAAAATAATAAAATATTAATACTATTTATACATTTTACTATTATTGTTGTTGAAGTTGACAGATTTTTTACTGATTTTCTCATGCACATGCTACTATTCGGAATAGACCGGTCTCTAATGGACGTTTTATCGAAAAAAAATTTGAATTCACTAATTCACCGCGAATTACGCAAAAATTATCAAATATCGTTGCCGTACCGTGTAATGTGTCAATTAGCAAATAATACAAGGCCAAATCATAATTGTACATGCCCTCGACTCCGTAAAACATTTTGCTACAAGCCATAAAGCTGGTCATTTTCGATTATACACGTTTTCGACACAACTCTCTCGTCGTTTTGACGTTTGATGAAATAGATACTCACAAAACCATTTGAGTGGACTTAATGTTATCAAAAGATGAATAATTATGCATCTCTATAACGGCGAACAAATTCTGGAGCTGAAGTCAATCGGAAACATATTTTTTTTAACTTTTGGCCAGGTTTCTTGACTCTGGTACCACTGTGAGACACAATCATATGAAGCCTTAATTGCTTTACCTTTTAAAAACTCACGAACTCACAGCACTTCGTTCAGAAGTTATTCCAAGAAAACATATTTCCAATCGCGTCCTTTCAGAACGTGTAAGAGGTCTGTAAATTAAGTAATGAGACTTTTTTATTCAAATACAGTTACAAAATTATATTGTCACCCTCAAAATGAAGCCACACAGTGAATCAAATTTAACCCTTCCTCCATCATTCTAACTACCGACCGACGATCTGAACAATAGAAAAAACTGTTTCACAAAAAAAAAACGCAAACGACTCGAACGACGTCAAACTTGTACTGAAGACGAATGACATACTCCTCTGTCTCCCTTCCAGGGTTGCCAGGTCAAACGCTATGTTGCCAGACTCATCACTTAATTTGCAGACCTCGTATCTCCGCAGGGGGCGGTTTCTATTTCTTTATGATAAATTGTCATTATTTTCTGCGTTCTATCAAACAATTCTAAAGCCTCCGTACCCAACTTGGAATGCGCTGGATCCGGGCTGAAGCACCAAGTTCCCTTTGAGGATGGCTTCGTAGATGATGTGCGTGAAGCAAATCAGCAATGTCCCGAAGACTATGAGTATGACTGATACGCAACAGCTACACACGAAGAATGTGAACAGCTTCTTCGGATGCATGGCGGTTGTCAGACTAGGTCTGTCCTGAAATCAAAATTGATAAATTTAGATATAGTAACTACTAAGTCCTATGTAGAGACAGTTTTGAGGTTATTTCAAACTTTTCCGCAAGAAGTTTGGCATACAGGACGATCCAAAAAACAATGACAATATTTTAGAGAAAGTAAGAACAAAATATGGATATTTTCGAACAAAGCTGTGATAGGATGGGGTGTCTCCTTTAATAAATGAGGAGCCCAAGCTAAATAGGTGATTACTCGAGCGACAGCGGCTTATTGGGTTTGAAGATTATATCCCAAGAAAAAATGTTCTATGGTCATTGAGTTAGGTAATACCAATTTTTTTATACTTCTACCCAATGAATGCACCGTTTCGTGGCTGATATACAGGATGTCCCAGAAATAACACGCCAGAGTGACACGGCATGTAGATTGTCTGCAGATCAATCAGACAAAATCAACATGACCTTAGTAAAAGTTTTCTAGTCTTCGAGATATTTCCACTTTTGAGTTTTTCCAAATCCCTACTTTTTGCTCCTTTTTTGCCTGTTATGGCTATAAAGAACTTATTACTTATGACTTTCTTTCCTAGGCTACAATCAATAGTTGGATGAGATAATCGAGAATTCATTCCACTGAAAACTAACACGGTATGCTAAAAAAAAACTAAATTATTACATTTGGCTTCAAGGCGAAAACCTTCACTGAAGTCTGATTAAGTACTGTCAAAAGAATGTACCAGATTGAATCAGCAAATTACCTTAAAGATTTCCCATTTAATGGTCTTTGAAAAATAGTATGTATTACATTTGTAGGTTATTTTTAGTAAAAACTGAATAATTCCAACCTTTGTCGTTGAAGTCGTGATACTTGCAAAATACTACAAATAAAAAAATAATAAGTGTATATGTCCAAATTACAACTTTGTAGTTGCTGTAGTAGCTTTTTATTTTAGCAAATATCTAAATCAGCTACCCATTATCCTCATTCTTTATTCATTGTAAAATAATGAACAGAACATTAGATTGTATTCTTCCATTGATTTTTACAATATTCAAATCAAATAAAGAATCAGGAATCATTATCAACCTCTTAAATTAACCAAATGAAAACTGAATTAACATCTTGTAATGTAAATATTCCTTGAAATAAATGATTACTATTATAATTATAATTATTACTATTTTCACAAGAGATTTTCAAAATATCTACCACCGACTCTTATATACAACCTGCATCTTCTAAAAAATTACCCTTATAAACTTCTCAATCTTAAATCGGATATTTTGAGTCCTGCTTAACGGATTCGATGCTCAGTTTATCATCTGATCGAACTGTTTTCCATAGACCTTATCTCTCAAACATCCCCAGTAAAAAAATTCCGGGGATTCAGGTCTGGAGAGCGTGGAGGCCACAAAATTGGTCCTGGCCAGCCAAACCATCTTCTAGAGAATGTTCATCAAGATACCCCCTTACTGCACTAGCATAGTGTGGAGGACACCCATCATTATGTAACCACATCCTTGTCAAGATAGGGTAAAAGATGGGGTTCTAGAACTTCGTGGATATAACGCTGCGCGTTCATGTTACCTCTGATGAAGATTAAAGGTGACCTGGTGATAAGCTATAGCACCCCAAACCATAACTCCAACAGTGTGATGAATATGTCTTTCAACAAAAAACTGTGGATTCCTCCTTCCACCACGTCGCCTTCTAACCCTGGCACGACCATCGTGCATGCCTAAACAAAATCGAGACTCGTCACTGAAGACAATACTGTTCCATTCCTGATCCCAGAGTGACCGTTGTCTGCACCACTCAAGGCGATTACGTCGGTGTTCTCGAGTTAAAGGGAGGACCCAGTGTGGCCGGCATGAAAACAAGCCAAAACTTCTCATTCGTCGGTAAACACTTCGCATGCCAATAGGTCTTCTGTGTTCTGCAAACCATTCATTTGCAATGGACCTGGTAGTGGAGAAACGGTCCCTTAAGGCCAATAATCTTAGGCGGCGATCTTCACGGTCTGTTGTTCTACGGCGGCGTCCAGTGCCCCTTGCTCTTTGCGTACGGCCTTCTCGAAGCCATGCCTGACAACACCTAACCACAGTGTCTACACTTCTTTGCATTCTAACTGCAATTGCCCGAAAAGAAAGTCCAGCTTCCCGAAGTCCCACTATACGGCCCCTATCAAACTCACTAAGTTGACGAAATCGTACAGGTCTCCGTACTCTAGGCATCGTAACCGATCGTAAAGGATGTCAAGAACCAAAATCCGCCAACGTTGATTCTTTACTGCGGCTGAAATATTCATTTTTAGAGCGTTAGTGAATTAAAAAAAAGCAGTATAAAAACCGGAATGTCCAACTGATACGGCTGAAAATTTTTTCACTTGTTATTTAAAATAATAATTTAAAATAAAACCATTTAAACTGGGTGTTCGGGTTTATATGTCACTTAGTATATATCCTCACGATAAATTTTTTTTGTAAACTTCAAGCGCAATAAATAATCAGTTTTGCAGATAATACTGCAATACTGTGTGGAGGCGCTGACTGGTCTGAGTTGAAAAATATAATTGAAAATGATTTGTAAAAATTATTCGGTGGTTTAATAGCAGAAACTTAAGCATTAACTATTTTAAAACACAGTTTTTACTATTTGCATCTTATGCTAGACATTTGACAAATTATACAATTAAAATTAAAGTAGAAATTAATCTAATTTCAAAAAATAATTGAAAAATAAATAAATTTAATGAAGAAAACACTAAACATAATCTGTAGCCTAAAACTTTCTGTTCCAATGAAGTTAAAAAGCTACACCTGCCAAATACACAAATTAATAAAATTCTCACTTATGTTGGGGCATCCGTGTCAATTATATTTTAAAGAAAGTTAGATCTGTAACGTACAAAATTATACAGGGTGTTTCAGTTTATTGTTGCATAACTTTAAGATTCGATAGAACTTTTAAAATTAATGCATAAAGTCTATATAAACATGGGTCGAAAATTGCGTGGCTTCCGATATACAGGGTGTTTAAATTTACTTTCTTAAATAGTTTTTTTAAATATTTCGAACAATATTTGATGTATAACAGTCAAAATTGGTATACGAGGGTTTTTTGGTACGACAAAACGAACCGTGGGCATAGTTTTACTGTAGCCGCTAGAGGGCGCCCTCTACTGTACCTGTAGTGTATTAAAATGACCGAAAAAATTTTCTTAGTGCAACTTTTTGCTTTTTGAATAAAAAAACTGATTCCTCGCACTTTTCAACATAAAAAAGCTCTCTTGTGAATTTTCGTTATAGTTAGCCGTTTTTGAGATATTTCGATTTTTAAGGTTCGATGCATTTTTAATTATTTATGATAAAATAACGTTAAAAAGTCAGTATCTCGATAATTTTTAGGAGTAGGCTGTGACTGCAAATATTTTTGAAATGGAAAGCAGAATAAGGTTAAACGTCAATTAGTTGTCAGTTAGTTTTGTTGTCTGTTGAAACCTGAAACGTCTTTTTGTAATTGTGAAAGCACGACATTTAGTTTCTTTTACCTGTTTTTTTTTTGTAAGTTTTATAAAAATGCCATTTTTATTCTCCAATCAAAAGTTAGCGGATATTCATTTGTGTATGGCTTTGTAAATGGAAAAGCAGCAGAAGCAGCCAGAGAATACGCACGAAGATTTCCAAACAGACGACATCCAACTCGCTCAGTATTTGTAAGAGTGCATCCCCAAATAATTGAAAATGGTTTTGGAAATCTCCAAAGGGATCGAAACATAAATGTTCGTCAGCGCAGATTTACCCGTATGATTCTGCGTGAGTTTGATAGAGATCCGACCACAAGTGTTAGGAGAGTTTCTGGTGCTTTGGGAATTTCAGCAAGCCATGTTCACCGTGTTCTTAGAAATGACCATAGACGTCCTTACCATTTGCAACCTGTACAAGGACCACAGCCAGGGACGGAGAACGAAGAACCACATTTGGTCGGTGGACTCTTGATAGAACTGATAATAATAGGGAGTTTTTAAGTACCGTTTTATGGACCGATGAGTCATGCTTCACTAGACGTGGAGTGGTAAATTTTCATAATCAACATATTTGGTCGCATGAAAATCCGCATGCAGTTCGGGAAAGAAATTTTCAGCATGAATTTAGTGTGAACATGTGGATTGGTATCTACCGTAATCGACTATTTGGACCCTACCTTTTGCCTGCAAGGTTAAATGCTGCGACCTTCTTGGAATTTTTAAAGGCTGAACATGCAAATATGTTGGATGATGTTATGTTAGATTTAAGAAGAGTGGCCTGGTTCCAGCTTGATGGTTGTCCAGCTCATTATTCGAGAATAGTTAGAAACTGGCTGGATGAAAATTATCCAGAAAGATGGATCGTTCGTGGAGGCCAGGCGACTGACCTAAATCCATTAGATTTCTTTGTGTGGGGATTTCTAAAAGAAAAAGTGTACCAGACTCCCGTAACCACAAGAGATATGCTAATAGACAGAATCAGGAATGTATGTGATGAAATATGGCCTTATTTGAATAATGCTATACCACGTTCGATCATTCGTAGATGTGAATTGTGTATTGAACAATTGGGTTTACATTTCGAGCAACTACTTTAGATTTTGTATGTTTGTCATAACTATCCAATAGCATTTTAGTTGTAAATAATTAATTTAATTTGTTAAAAAAATATTGGAAAATTAAACAAATTAATATTCTGTTTTTTGTGTTCATTTGGAGTTAGGAATTATTGCTGTGTTTAAAAACACAATCTAAACGATCATCTGATTACTTGTAATGCCCAAATCGAAAATATAAAAAAAATATATTATTTTCCCGTAAATAATTAAAAATGCATCGAACCTTAAAAATCGAAATATCTCAAAAACGGCTAACTATAACGAACACTCACAGGAGAGCTTTTCTATGTTGAAAAGTGCGAAGAATCATTTTTTTATTCATTAAGCAAAAAATTGCACTAAGAAAAATTTTTCGGTCATTTTAATACACTACAGGTA